TAACTGTGTGGGTAAATTTGAAAACGCATCACCACCACAGTTCGCGGGCACTATCGACTCGTCCGCGCTCGCCGCGGCCGCGCCCCAAATCGTGCAAGAAAGTGGGGGAGCCCATAACAAAAACGTTAAACAACAAAAAGCGCGAACGTTAACTCTCCAGGAATATCCATTTGCGAAAGTTTATCGTTCATTGTGAATCACGTAGGTCCTCTACCAGTCGCTTCTTCAGAACTGCCGTGGTGACTCTAACACCACAGTTGTGTAGTTAAAGCTCGCCCCAGTGCGACATTTGTTTTAAACGAGCGCGCGTGGGAAATTTTTTTAGAGATATGAGCATCTCGGTGAATACGTCCGATCCAAGGGCGAGGTTTGGCGCCCTGCCCTATTGGATAGCCATCGCAAAGTCTGACACTTGTTCAAAGTATGATGAAAATTTGAGGTTCAGTTCGCGAACTGCACATCAGCTCTGCGCTCATGCCTTTTTGATAACCTACTTTTTTGCTTTATGTACACGGCGATGCCAAACACCAGTTTTTTCAGATATTGGCGAAAAAGTAGACGTTCATTTCTTCAAAAAAGGTATCAAACCAGTATGGGAAGATGAGGCCAACATCAAAGGAGGAAAATGGATTCTTCGCTTAAAAAAGGTATATTATTCTCTCAGTCCGTATTAATTTGTTGCGGCATTTACTGGCTGTCTTTGCCAGGGTCTGTCTTCTCGCATTTGGGAAAATCTTCTGCTTGCAATGGCTGGTGAACAGTTCCTCGTTGGTGACGAAATTTGCGGAGCCGTGTGTTCAGTTCGTAATCAGGAAGATATAGTGTCGTTGTGGAACAGGTATTTATTGGAACACTATCAATATATGTAGACAATAATATGCGAACAGCTCTGTGTTCAGGTAGTGCCTTGTTACCCAGTTATTGTTTTCCGAAGGGATTTTTGAGGATCTTCATGAGAGCTCCATTGTCAAGTTTGGCTGTACGTAATATTCCAAGTGTTCTTGTTTGACTGTATTTCTTGATCTGGCTGATTTACTGTTTCTCTTAAGGGTTATAGATGCAAGGTATTACCGCTTCTCACACCTGTAGCTTTAAATTAACCTAAAAAGAGTGGAGACAAAACAAAACGAAACATGGGACTATCTTTCTTAGTTTCCTAGGAGAAAAATTTAATATTTTTGGAAGCCCTTCTCTATTGCTTTCTTTTGGGCCTTCGAGATCTGCAAAACGTAACTGTGAAGAAAGTTAGTAACATCAGAAGCAAGAGAGCTTACAGAGAAAAAGAGAAGGCGAAGAAAAAGGGAAAGGAGACAAGATGGAAATTTGACTGCGAACCCCAAAAAACGGAGCCAAGGGACAATCCTATCGAGTGATTTTTCAGAAAAGTTGCAGGACTGTTTTGAATGCTTCAAGCTCGTTATTTCTTTTTGTTTCCAGAGATCTGCGATAGGTTGGTTGTGAGAGAATTTATTAACGTTTGGCGGTTGAAAAACTGGGCACACAAAAGGAATAGGGGTGCAATTTTTTGAGGACTCAACATTCGAAGCTATTTGAACGTTTTCTAGGGAGAAAATTCGAGTTTTTCCTATGAGTTCCTTTGCCTCGTCGCTTAGGAACGCAATAAAAGAAGATATGACCTTTCAAATATGGAGAACCGTATCACGTGGAGGTTTAAGCGAAGGCGAAGTGAACCACCTCTCGTTGTTACACACTCCAATTTTGTTTTTCACTTCATACCGAAGGGGATTAGAGAGTTTGGAAAAGGGTTGCCAACTCATGGAAGTAGAGATCTCTGCATGTGCTAAAAATACCCAGGTTGCCGTCACTAACCCTTACAATAGACTTTGATTAAAAAACTGGGGAAAAAGGTGAGACTAGGGACACCTATTCTGGTATTCAGAGGGTCGCTCAGGAAAAATCTGTCATGGTTCTATGGTTCCAGCATGTGCCTCTATACCATGCAAGAGACCGTTTTGAAAAAGCTTGGTACTCCCTGAAAGACCTTCCTTGTAAGTCCAGCGAAGGTGGGAGAACTGTGAGTTACCATGAATGGTGTTGGTCGACATGATAAGTTCCGATAGTCTCTCGCCTTACTCATTCCATTCTATTCCGCGAGTACCGATGTGAGGTCCTTC